CTTGAGCCACTGCTACCGCACTCGAATAAAGTCCCAAGAGAAAGAGAGAGGCTTAGGGGGACATAAGGACGCCGCAGAAGAAAGACGAGCCACAGGGGAGCGATGAATAAGGAATGCGCCGTCCATCCGTTCGTCCGTGGGAGTCACGCCTCTCCCCTTCCTCTCTCTTTGGGGTCCATTTGTCTGAGCTCACAGCACGCGGAAATATTGTGTCCTATACGTACAGTACATTTATACCCACCTATGCCCCACCTGTATATATATATATATATACGGTCAAACGCGTGCTGCACACGCGCGTGCAGAGCCATATATACACGCACACACACGCAGACGCAGCTTCCCAGCTTGTGATCATCGCCATCGGGGAGCTATTCGAGCTTTTATTTATTCCACGCGTACACAAACGCGCGCGCGCGCGCGCGAGCCCCGAAGTGGGCGGGAACGAGCGATTTCTCGCTTGGATTTTCGCTCTAGCGCCCCCCCCCCCTACCACTGTGCCCCTCATTGTTGTATATTATGTTATTGTAACGCTTTTACGACGCGGGTAAGTATACGAGTACATACTCTCACACCCGTTTCCTCGTGCGTGTAGGTATATATGTATACGTACGTCTCTTTGTTTTGGGGGGGGGGGTAGGTTAGCGGTGGTGATGGCCCCGGGGGCTGTGTGTAGCTCCCGGATTTTGGATTTAACCTACTGATTTCGAGCTCGTGAAGGGAGCATTAGCTGCGGCAGTGGCTTACGGATGAGGGTCGTTAAATCCGATCGACGGATATACATATACATGTGCCTTGGCGTAAACAAATAATGCGTGCTCGCGGCCACAGAGTTTCCGGATTGGGTTTGGATGGGGTGTACTGATGGATGTTACCAGGCGTATGATACAAGCATAGGCACATCAGGGTTGGTACGTAGGCTAATGGAAATAGATTTTGGTATGGATGTACGAGGTTATCGATGATTAAAATTGAATTTACATTGACTCCCCATCAAATTGGAGAGTTGGCTTTGTCGTTTGGTGACATTGAAAAAAAAAACCAGATGATGTAAAAACAGTTCTTTGTATAGATTTTGATTATCTAACGACGTACGTCAAACTACGAAAATACACATTAGCTAGAGATAATAGGATTGGAAACGCGTACGCGTTAACAATGACTTATCATTTCACCTTCGCGTTTCGTAACTCAGGTGTGAAAGACACAAAAGTGGGTATTCCCTCTTTTCGACGTTTCACGTACTGAATATGAGGTTACTATATACCGAATACATCCACACGTAATATACGCATTGTTAATGTTCAAGTCAAGTGAGTTATTCATCAAAGCAATAAGGAATTTTTTAGTCTACACAGAAATAATATAATTTTTTATCGGTGACCAAACTTATTGGTGGTCATATTAATTGTATATCTAATAATACTTCAAAATGTTACTTCGAGCCTCGATTGGGGTGAAAATTGAGGCAGATCGATCGTCCACTCTAGATGATTAAATTTACCCAGTTCGGTGTTGTCAGATATCGGTCAAAAAAAGTCCACGAGAAAGGGAACACTCCTAGAAAATTAGCGAAATTGAATGCTTGTGACGCGCTCTCTAATGCTATGTTACGTTTTACCACCGGGTGTCCGATCGACTTCGCGGAAGAAAATATTTACGCTCTTCATTTTAAATTATCCTCGACGCTTTGCTCATTTCTTACCCTATCTTTTTTTTTGTATGGTATAAATATCTCGATCTCGAAAGAAAAACTCAATCAGCTTCATAAGGCATTAATAGGAAAGCAAAAGTACGTATAGGGACTTTGACCCCCTTCGCATCCCTTTAAAATTCGATTACCCATTCTATGCACACACCGTATACAGGTAGGTACTGCACAGTGAAAGGGTCAAGTACGATTGGTCCGCAAAATGAAAATTTAATGCCCCACGGGCAGCAGCGGTGGTCGCCAGCGAGTGCGTCCAATCTTGGCGTTTCCCTCCCTTTCTCCGCTGATGAAGGGAATAATTTCAGAGCTGCCGGTAATCGAAGAGGAGAAGAGGATGAAAAAAATAGGGGAGGGAGCGCGGCTGTCATTGGCTGGTATAGTTTGTATGTGCGTCCGGAGGCCCCCCCAGGTAGGTCCAGCCCGGAGGTCACGATCTCTCTCGCTTCTCCATACAACCGGGTAATGATATAATTTTGCCCATCCCACACACACATGTCGGCTGATGCGAGCGGTAGCTGCTTCCGCTGCTTCACGATCGAGCAAAACGAATGCATAATGCCCTTCCTCGCGATCCTTTCTGCGTGGGCATCCGCCCTCGACTACCCGACGATTCCACTTATTGAGCTCTGCACTACATGGCTCGCGTATGATGTGTCTTGGGTATATCGCTGGCTGGAGCTCATGGCGTTTGCTTCGTTTGCTTTTTTTTTTCTCCGTGGGATCAGAGGGAGATGAATGAGAGCGCGGCCGAGTTATGAATGGGATCGAGGATGGTTTTGTCTTTTTCTCTAAATGCAGCCATTAATAGGGAAATAAGGTGGTTTTGTTTGCTGTTTGCGAGGTCCTTTTGATGTAGCTCGTGTATGCGTCTTTAGATGGAAAAGAAATTAATTGGAGTGACTCTAACTGTGGCGGAAATATGTATTGAATTTTAGGCATTTTTATTTTTGTACGAATCAGTTTTTCAGTGTTGAAAGAAGAATATAAACATAATGTCTAAGATTAACGATGACCATTATTCGGGGTGTGTGTGTTTTGAATTAAATATATCTTGATAGCGTCTAATTTACTTTTATGGAGACCCATACTGGCTCACAAGTACCTATTATAACTTTTATCCATAAACTTGTTGATGACACTTATTTTTTCATTGTTAGGGTGGTATGAGCACCAGTTACGAAATTTGATGATTTAAGAATTTCGATATCAATTTGTTTCACTTCCTGATGCCATTCATTGTTTCGCATATTGTAACGTTTAAAAGGTAGAAAATCATACGAAAATACCTTAGACTTCCAGTAAAATTGAAAGATGCCTTTTTCTCTGTCTAGGAATACTTGGTGTTCCTTAAAAGTATGAGGTACATGTTTAAAGACCAAGTAAATCAGTAAAACTCATGAGAAACTTCAGGCCTTTCATAATTTATTCGATCAGTGTTTCAATACATGTAATGATTCTAAAAATTTTTTTTTAACACCATTTGTTACATGGATTATCAGTTTAAAAAAAATAGGCATACAATACGTCAAGAGTGCAAAATGTAATCATTCAGAGAAAAAGTCAATTTAGCCTATGAATTTATAAATATTTTGGCATGTAAAGATGTTATAACTACAAACTTTTCATCTTAGAATTATAAAACTTGAATTGCCATGGTAAAAAACGTAGCGACTAAAGTCTAGTTTTGCGAATGCATTTTTCGTCATATACTTACATTTAAAAGACACATCATAGATATGTTGTGCTAAAAATGTATCCTAAACATATTATATAACTTAGAATTTGATATGTCCTAAGACTTCCCGACGTAACTACGGACCGTCCCGCTGTAAAATTTAACTGACACCTCTAGATAATACCTTTTGACATAAACGTTCCTTACCGCCTCATCAAGTCGTAAAAGAAAAAAAAAATGAAATAAAACCCACCAGTGTCCAGCCTTTGTAATCAATACCCACCGAAGAAAGCATCGGTTACATCGTTAAAAGGCACCCCCAGAGCTCACCCAGCTCCCTTTTATCCGAGGTGCGAACGACACCGATCGCGCTCACTTTCACACTCCCGTAACGTCTCCTCGCGCGACAACGAAAAAAAAAGCCTCGAGTTGTAAAACAGCCTCGTGCCCCGCGCCGCTCAGGGGGTCCCTTCCTCCAAGACGTCCCGAGACGCACACAAAACCCGAGCTCTCGGCACATCCTGAAACTCACACCCCTCCTCACTCAACGCGCGTATATAACTGCCGCGCGCGAAGACGCTCATTCGGCCCGACGTGTCCAACAAGCCGTGAAAAATCTCGCTCGTGAACGCGAAAAAACATAATTCGCGAAACAACAATTAGCGCGCCTCCTCCCGCGTGTGGCGCAGGTTATCCGAGGCGCTGCTTTTAATTGCCGAACAATGAGCTCCCCGCGCCTATATGCGTATACAGTGCTTGCCGGCTTGTTCACGGCCGGCTTGGTGCGAACAATATTCCGCGAGGTGAGACGGAGCGAATGACGGGGGGGACGCTTCGATTGCGCGCGCGTACACACGGGATTCGCGGTTTTGTACTTGTGCGCTCGAGCTGACGCGTTTCTTTCTCTATTAATTTTTTTTTTTCTTTCTTTTTTTTCCCCCTTACGTGCTAGGCTAATTTTGCCAGCCAATGGGGTGTTGGGGCGACAATGGCACCCCGAATTGTTATTTACGGCTCTTTGGTAATTCAATTATTGTCTCGAGGCTGATTTTTTGTTTCCCTCGTACTACACGCTGGTGCGTGTATTGTTTCTGCCTTTCATGTACATACATTTCTTTGAAAGTCGTGCACGGGCGCCTTTGAGTCAGGAAAGTTTGATGAACGCTCGTACACACACACACACACACACACACACACACACACACACACACACACACGAGTTTGTGGATTTATTTGCGCGATGCACGTTTCGTCGAAAAACGATGCGGTTGTTTTATTTCAGGACAATCGTAATATCGATTGTAAGGCACATCGAGCGTAAATTATGCCTTTCTTTTCTGGCTACACGAGTGTGTTGTATGCGTTTGCCCGGAAAATTCCTGGATTTTTCCCGATGCAATCATATTTATTACTGCCTCTATAGAGCTTCGTTAATACGTTATAAGTAGTCCGAGGTTTTCGTTACTGTTTTATCGAAAATTCTGACGATAATAAATAGCGCTTTTTTATTCTTAAGAATATTCATGTAAATTAACATATGCATGAATGTACAGCGATGAAGAAAAGTCATTATTATCTTTCAGCTGAAATTTCATATATGATTATGTTTTTCAGGTGTGGCATACAAAACGGAGAGTCGATTTAAAATTCAATTGGACAAAACAGGCATTATTTGAGCGATTGCTATCATGAATAAAGTTTCTCTTGTGTTTGTCTGCTCCCTATTTTCGCTCAGCATCGTTACCATTGGTAAAATCAATTATCTATTGACACGCTATTATGAATTATGAGAAATAAACGAAATAATGTAATTTGCAGTGAACTCGTATGAATCGAGATGCGAAGATGATATGGTTTGTAAGCGAATAACGGAGTGTGGAAATCATATCAAGCACATTAAGAGGCTACACCTTACAAGTGGCATTCAGCATCGTAACCTTTTGTTGGGACCTATCCAGCGATTGACTTGTGGTTTCGAAGGGAAGATACCAAAAATTTGTTGTCCCTCAAACGACGAGCATGATGTGTTTGAAGAAAGCAGGGCTAAAACAAATTTGAAAAACCGATCTGTCCAAGGTGGATGTGGTAACTTTTTGTGGAACAGAAATCTTCCTCGGGACGGTGGTGCCACTGACATATTTGAGTTTCCGTGGCTAGCTCTTTTGCAGTACAAAAGTCGTGAGTACCCCTTTAATGACGTCTTGGTGGAAAAAACGAATATGATAGTACTTATCGTTTCAAAAAAATTTACCACTCTTGACATGAATCGTGTTTTTAATTTTTTTGTAAATTTAATGCTATGAAGTATAGAAACTGTTACTTCTCTGAGAAAGAATTCATTCATTTATTCAATTCAAATTATAAAAACATATTATTTTTACCTCTGAGATGGAACTTTATATACGAAAATCAAAACAGTCTTTTTTTTTTATTAAAAAATGAAACTCTACCCTTGAATGCTAACAATAAAAATGTATAATTTATTTCGTGTAAAAAAACTGGCACCTTTTTTTAACAAATAAATAACCTTTATTTCACCAGAAAATAAGACCAGTTTTTTTTTCTTTTAAAAACTACGTTTTGACACAAGTAGAGATAATTTTTTGGAACCTAAAGTTGGGATATCCTATGTTTTTTGCCAAAAGTCAAGATATAATGATTTTTTTCAACATAGAGTGAAGACACTAAAAATTAAAACACCACCAACATTTACAAAAATCAAATTGACATTAGTTTTTTACTGAAAATATATTGACCATTAATTATCACCCCAAAAAAAAGAGAAGCAACCTTTTCGGTGATATTTTTCCACCAAGACATTCCTTTCTTTTCAAATCACAAACAAAGATCTAAAATCCCCATTTCCAACAGCTTCAGGTATGAAAATCGGTTGCGGAGGTGTGCTGATAAGCGATCGCCACGTTTTAACCGCAGCCCACTGTATACATCCCCCTCAAAACATGAAACTTACCAGCGTGAGATTGGGCGAGTATGACTTGGGGACCGATCGCGACTGCATCGACGACGACCCCAAGGAATCCCCGAACCGCTTCTGCAACGACAAGCCACTCGAGCTGGGAATTGACGCCGCAATCATTCACGAAGGCTACGATCCCTTGAGGGGCCCTTCAGACTTCAATCCGTTGTCGTACGACATCGCCCTTTTGCGCCTCGATCGGCCCGTCGAGTTTTCCGATTTCGTCCGGCCCGTATGTCTGCCCGACCGAAAATTCGCCGATGAAGGGAAGTACTTGGCGTCAGGCTGGGGCGCCCTGCCAAGCCTAGATCGCCCCATGTTCAACCTCAAGCGAGTTTTTAGAGTGAATTTCACCAACAGAAGCGCCTGCAACGCGATTTACAGACGATCCCTGCAGCGGGACGTTGTGTGCGCCGCTGCCAAGAAGAATAATTTGAATTGCATCGGGGATTCCGGGGGACCGCTCATGGCTGTGGACAGCCAGTCCAGAATGACGGTCGTGGGGGTGTATGCGCCTGCAGGCGATGGCTCCTGTCGGACGAAATACATTCCAAACACCTACACGGACGTGAGGCAGTACATGGATTGGATATTGTCGAAGATGTGATAACGATGATAATTCAAGTTGTTTTTGGGTTTTACCCCCCTCCCTTTTTTTGTGCTTTTAACCATTTCTGAAGATTACACGCTATGCATTGCAAAAATAAATTGTTTTACTTTGTTTTTTTGACGTGATACTTTTTATTGTAACCAAGGCTTTTCTTTATTTATTTCTTGATTTATTGTATAAGTTTATGTGTAACAAATTGAGTGTTTATCTATGCACGAAAAATAATCTTTGTTAGTTAATAAGATTTTATTAAAATAGTTATACCACTTATGTTTATTGAATGAACTAAATTAGAAACACCTGAAATGATCGTATACGTTTTGAACTAATTGTTTATCGATTAATTTATGTAATTCTTTATGTATCGAATAAAATACAGATGAAAATAAGATGTTTTTGCAGCCATTTATTACGTCTAAGAATTTTCTGAATAACATCAATAGGTATTTCCAATTATTTCATCTCGAAAACAAGGACATTATCATACAGTTAATGTGGTGGAAATCTGATAATAGAGTAAATTTATCATTTTTACTGACAAGTCAGACATTGAGACGTTCCTAATACATAACGTTAGCAAGGGTTTTCCTACCATTATTAAACGTGGAGGAATAACAATTTAGCGTGGCGTGACTGAATACCACTTGATGATTTTTTATGTCTTATTTTTCTCGAATGGCGTAATTAAAAAGTATTAATTGCCTCTGCATAAGGTGACATGATAATTCATTACATAACATACTTAGATTTTTGGTATATAAGTACTTGATACGAATAGGTTGCCAACTCAATTTGATAATATACCTGATAGATTAACTTTCTTCGTTCAGTCATGGCGTACAAGTTCTTAGTCACCATATTTTCATTGATAGTCGTGGCATCAGCTAGAAGTAAGTTTTTAACAATTAATTTACACTTTTGCCAAAAATTCTGTTGATTCATTTGTAACACAAAACGTAAATTGAATAATCATTACAGCTATCGGTGACGACTCCTTTGTATTTCCCGATTCAAGTGGTATTCTTGAAAATACCTGCAACTGCATCCCAATACAACAATGTCCGGTGCTTCTTAAAAATTTACAAACAGCTAGAGATGAAAACTTGGAAATGCCTTATATAGATTTCCTTAGAACTTACCATTGTGAATCAATCAAAGTTTGTTGTCCTTCAAAAGCTACAATCGAGAGCAACCCGGATTTTTATCAAACTCATTTTAAACACATGTATCTCGGCAAAGTTAATACACATGAAGCCAAAAATGATGATATTGACAATGAAGTAGATAATGTCGGAAAAGCATTAACAGAACAATTGAAAGGATAAAATTGTAATGTCGATATTAAATGTTGAAAATATCTTTAAAAATAAAACTTTTCAGATGTTTCAAAGATACGCCGAGATGTTTTTGAAACATTACGTTCGTTTGGAATTTTTTTTTTCTTTAAAATAAACTAACTTTAAACAAATTTGAGACGTTTAAGTCCTTTTCAAAATTATTTAAAATTAACAAAAATATTAATCATTAGGAAACAAAATTTTACTTTAAGATGATTGTGTATGTTTGTATATCGTACGTAACAGGTCTTTTTAATATGCTTTATTTTACTTTCTTATCGAATGAAGCAAGGAAAAATTTGGTAAATTAGGATAATTTATTTACGCTAACATATTAATCAAAATACTGTATTATAACTTCACGGTAATATGCAGATATTTTAATATTCTTGTATCAATAAGGAATATTATACAGCCAGTTATCAAAATTATCAGCTCGTGGGCATCAACATCCAAGTGATCTAAATAAAATGTAATAATACGTAATTATAAAAATGTCAAACATTTTTTCATGTATAATATAAAAATTAATTGACAGCAAATAATCTAAGCTATTTATTATCCAATACCATTTCGCACCAGGCAATGTTTTTTTAACGTAATTGAGGAACAAAAACAAATAAGAAACTGAAGTGTGTAGATTACTTTTCCTGTTGCAAATCAGAATAAATTTTCATCAGGGTTACAGGCTTGAGCAGGCTGAGTAATAAAAAAGCGCAGAAATTTAACAGATGGACTTTGAATGTTAATCTTGGTTTGGATTATAGAAATTCTTAATAATCTTATAAAATAAGTTTTTTTTTGTTATCTGCGTTTGTTAGCTACGTTCAATTCAAATAATTTTTACGTTAAATTCAAATAATTTTTTTTCATAGTTGAATTATTAATAATTAGAAAAAAAAATTTTGCACCACAGTAGACCATGGGATTGTATTTAGAAACTGTAATCCGTCAATAAAAATGTTTTTATTTATAGAGTTTGACAAACATAAAGCCTCATATGCCTAATCTCAAGCGAATTTCTAGATTCAATTTTACCTTACTTATTTGACCATATCATGCTATTGATTAACACAGAAAAGTCTACTTACGTTGTTTATATGCTAAGTACTTCTAAGAAATATACATTATTTTTTTTGTCAATACCATTCACGATTTTTCGTGCTGTTCTGTAAACAAACGTTTCTTTAATGATTTTTCGATTGATGTATGTGGAACACATTTAGTATTAATTTATTAGTAAACAAGTTTTTTTTTTCATGCGTAATACAAAGTATCATTATTTCCACATAAATTTTAAACTTATGTAAATAGAAAACATTTAAAATGAGCCTCAAAATTCATCACACATCAAATGGATAACGAAATTCTGATGAAAAAAATGAATTTAATTAATCACTTAAATCGATAACCATGGTATCGCGACATTCGTATTAAACAACGCAATTACGGGCACTCCCAGCAGTGAGAAACGTTAGTGAATAATTTAGCGTGACACCCGGCAATACTACTTGTGATTTCAATTGACGATTTCGAAGTAAAATTTTTCTGAAAGAGCGTAATAAAAAAAAAGTACTGATTGCCGGAGAGTAAAGTAAAGCGATAATCACTTTTGTAAGATAAGGACATTTGCACCGTATAAATACTTGATAAAAATTAACCAACAACTTAGTTTGGAGAAAACACCTGCGAGGTGAACTCGCTTCGTTCAGTCATGGCGTACAAGCTCTTGGTTACCCTTTACTCGTTGGTGGTCGTGGCATCTGCTGCACGTGAGTTTTTAACAACGGACTTAATAAAAACTTATTTTTCCACGACACGAAACGTAAACCGAATTTATTGATTTGCAGTCTTTAACCCTGCCATTTACTTTGGATCAAGAGTCATCCAGAATACCTGCAATTGCATTCCATTGGACCAGTGCCCGGTGCTTTATTACAATTTTCTAACAGCCAGAAGCGAATCTTTGGTACCAGTTTATGGAGAATTCGTAAAAACCTACCACTGTGGCTATCACGGCAAGATGCCCGATGTTTGTTGTCCTCTTACGAATACAGTGGAGGCGTACAAGAATTTTTACAAAAAAACATTTAGAAACGATTACATCGTCGAGAACGGAAAAAACCTTTTTAATACGTATTTGTCGCAATTTTTGCCAAAAAAACTCATCCCGCAAACCGTCGCGAATAATCTTGTCCCCTACAAAATAGACGACGGTGCAAATAAGGTTTCACAACAATTTTCATCCACTTTGCCGGCACATCAAAAGGGCAACGAAAATCAGCGTGTCAGCGACGATCTGGATGAGATCGTAAAACAAATAGTGGAACAATTTCTACCGGAACCGAGTACTCCACAAACAGGAAAAGACGAAAATAATGGTAACGATGACATTGACGATATCGTGAACACGTTAATGGAAGAATTCGCGCCAGATCCGTCGGTGTCAGCATCAGGTAATGATGAATCCAAAATTTGACAATCGCGCCCGAACCCAGAAATCGACAACAACCAACTTACCACTAAACAATACCTCAATTTGAACACAGATAGCGATCTAGATGTAAATAAGCCCAAATCCAAAAACAGTGTTAGTGCGAGCACGAATATCGAACTGAACGCCAAATGTGGCCGGGTGTCCGAGACCGCTGACTTTCCTTGGCTTGTCCTCTTGGAGTACGAAACAAGTAAGTCAATGTAGTAACCGCACCAGTTTTTACCTATTCCCCATCAAAAACTCAAAAAGTACTGAATCAAGTAAATTACGCATGTTTATGTAATCGAATGACGTCTCCCGAGATAACATAAAATACGCGTGTATAAAACGTATGATCTTAAAGTTGTACGATCCAGTTGATTGGTCGCATAAAATTGAAATTGTTTCGCAGCTCGGGGGAAAAGGTTCCTTTGCGGTGGCTCCCTGATAACCGATCGGGTAGTCCTGACGGCCGGCCATTGCGTGGAATCGAAGTCCAACAAACTGGTGAGCGCGAGGCTGGGCGAGTACGCGCCCAAGGGGCCGATCGAGTGCTCGTACAACCCGAGCTCCCGCAAGTACGAGTGCGCCAAAGGTAGCGTCGACGTAGACGTCGAGTCGGTTCACCTCCACGAGGATTACTACTCTGGAAATGCCCGCCACGCGATGCTCGAGCAAGGCAGGCACAACGACGTCGCGCTCGTCAAGCTGAGCCAAAGGGTCGGCTTCACCGAGCACGTCCGGCCGATATGTTTGCCCGCACGAACGCCACCGGAAGAGGGAGACTTTGTCATAGCCGGCTGGGCTCGGAAGATTTATTCCAAGGGTAAAATGAGATCGGGGGCGGCGTTCAAAGTGAGGGAGATGGAGTCGGCGTGCAATTCGTATCGGTTCGACAGGGGCGAGTTCATCTGCGTTGCCAACGAGCATCCCGTGACAAGTGGAAGCGCGATTTGCGTGGGCGACGCCGGTGGTCCGATAATGGCCCGGGAAGTGAAGAGCGACGGCGAGCCGAGGTTTACGCTCCGCGGGATCTCTAATGCTGATACGTCTTGTAGGAGAAGGGGTGACAAGTACGGGCTGTTGTTTACGAGGATCGACCCGTACATGCCGTGGATAAACAGCAAATTGAGGGAGATTCTGTGAGTTCTTTGGTTGAAAAATAAATACTTTTTGTAACTAAAGTCAGGAGAAGTTGATCGTTATACTGTCATCCAGATGAGGTGGTAAAAATAGATAAAGATCAGATCTTGGTTTTTGGTGTACCAGCTTTTTCCATGTGTTTCACTGTTTATAAAAAAACAACAATAATAATAGTATGATTGAAAAACGAACAAATAAATTAAGTCTTGCTACGCAAGGTATGGTTGTTGATTGGTACTTATAAGATATGTACATTCATTGTGATGTAACAATAGATGTAACGCTATTATTCCATGGTTATTATGACCAATAAGGGTGTGACAATCGTTTGTGAATAAAAAGACCTCTATTTTTTTTTGTGCAAGATTGTTTCATTTAAAAAAATAACGGCTCATCATGAAAAAACATGCAACATGGTAAAATATATCTTTCTATTCATTTTTACAAAAATCACATGCTATTCAATGCTGTCGTGGATGAAAGCTTTTATTTAAGGAGAGATGCAATTAGATGTACTTGTATTTAAAAAATTTCCCTCTTTTGAAAAACCAAGTTGAATATCTCTGGTAAGAATTAAAAAATAAAAGAGATTGGAGGAACATGCTTTAGTTTTTTATAAAGTGCGCGTAAGCTGTCGCAAAGCCTCTAAATTTCGTGCAGCTGACCGACCCCGTTGACTCTCGATTACCGCTCGAAATTGACGAACAATCGTTACATTTTACCTTGCACTAGCCACGTCAAGGTACACAACCAACGCACGCGGACGCGTGACAGGAGGGCGTTTTCATACGTGCAAATGCACTCTCGTGCGGCCGCGAGCAAAACGTGGCTCATCTCGTCGCGCCTTTTGCTTCGCTCTATTATGCGCGAAAATGCCAGATGTTGGCCGCATGTGCTGGTCGCCTCTCTCTTTCACTGTTTGCCGTTGTTATACGTCGATGTGTACATATATATGCATTTGACTTTTGTCTCTCCAACGGAAATAACATACAGCTACTAAACAAAAATACTGAATTTACAAAGCAACACCGCGAGTTGAATATATATATATATATATATACATATATTCAATCTCGATTCCATGTTGTTGCATGAAAAACCGATGGAATTACCATCTGAATTATTTTTTTGATAAATTTTTCGATTACCCAAGTGTGGGATAGTTTGATTTATCGAATAACATTACACGCAACAGATTATTAACGCGCAATCAACTTTGCGTAAACTTATTTTTCTTATCTTCCATTGTTTTTGTGAAATCAAACACGCGAGTTTCAAAGTCGCATTTACGAATTGAGTTCTTGAAAAAAAAAAAAAAAAAAAAAAAAAACAAAAAGGAAAAAAACTACAAACTTGTGGTTCACCAAACACAATGAACCACGCGCTCATTGTTCCTCCCGGTCTTTTGTACAGTACCTACGCGCATAAGGGACGAATTTTTTTTTTCCTGCCCTCGTGAGGAATAATAAACAGGGCGCATTTGCGTATCTCCACAAAACGCACGAAAATAAAAACAAAAAATAACCATAGCGCACGCGACTTTCTTCCCTTCCACTGCAGGTACACGTTACACATCCGATGCGCACTTTGCATCTGTTGGACTACGGATATCCTTCCGCTTTGCATTCGCGTGCCTTACGTAAGGCTCTTTTTCCCCTCTTGCGAGCCTTTTCATAAAGTAGGAATGAAAGACGGGTTTTATTTTAGGGACGGTATGCGAGTACTTTTTTTTTTTTTCCTCCGCAGGAGTGACAGTTGCAAGCTTGGGATGTTTCAAGGCGGGCCCCGTTTGACGTGGAGAATCCGCTCTTTTGGCGCCAAAACTCGGGAGTGAAATGTGCGTTTGTTACGTCATTGGCACGAAAAAAAAAAATTCTGTTTTTAGATCAAAGAAATCGGTGTGTTTTTATGCGTTTTTCAGCTAAATATAGTTTGACATCGATACGATACTTTTTTAACGTACAATCTCCTGTATACTATACATTTCCTTTTTTAACCCGTTGAATGTGTCTTTATACAAGTGTTTGATTTCTTTTGAGAAAAAAAGCTTAGTATATACAAAGCACGATTGAAAGTATAAGTATCCATTTGATTACTATTACGGTCGATAATTCAAAAGCGCACTAAGAGATTTCCGTAAGGTGACTTCGTAATAAGAGTATTTTCATATTTTTCTTTCTTGATGTTTTCTGGAATCCCTAAAGTGAGAAAATTAGAAACTCTAGCGCCCGTAACACGTATGACGAAGCGCGTGTCCGATGTTGGTTTTTCGTGTTAAATGTGTTTTTTTTTTTAAGCTATCCACACGGACTTTGAAAACTTATTGGTGCGGCTGCGTAAGTAAAACGAGAATGTTTTTCTTGTTACAAAAGGTAACGAAGAGCTACTTCGGGTGGATGCTCCCATGGTTCTCGTATTTCCTCTCTGGGTGTAGCTCTTTGAAATGTTGCGTGTATAAAGAAACATAAAGTGGATGATGGTCATGTGGAAAGGTCAGTTGAAATGTTAAAATAGCTCTGATAGCTCACAGAAAATTCCTCTAAAGCGATGGGACCTGGCAGACACGCATGAAAACGATGTTTCATTCTCCGTGAATTATTTAGTGTTTTGGTTGGGATAAAACAGGGATTTTAGTTTGAAAACATTAGCTGCATAAAGTGTTTTTCCTGAAAAATTAATTATTTCAAGATGGGAACGAACCCCCCCGTAAAAACTGTTGAAACATCGTGTACCATCGATCAATAAACCGACAATTACGAAAGCCGTGCGACACGTTGAGGTATGTCACTTTTGACGGGGGGGGGGGGTTGAACGTCTTTCTCGCGCGCTGGGAGGGGGGCGGGGTGTATAAAACAACCAGCATCAATCAAGAAAACCAAGCAGCTTCTCGCAGACACGTAATTTCCAGCGCACCCCTCCGGCCAATGTCCCATAAAATTATCTGCATACCCTCTCGCCGAGATCTTACATATTTCGCAGATTAGCACTCGCCGTGAATCGTAGCGCGACGGCAACGGCGCAAAATGGCACATTTGTTTTCACACGGCCCGTTCTCGCGCCCCTTTGATACTTGGCTCGCTTCGAAGAAGCGATTTTTCATGCAGCCAGCGGTGCATGTGCGCGCTCTTCCTGTCACAGCCCCGAAACGAGGACTACTCGGGGAGAAGGAGCCGGGCGTAAGGAAAAAAAAAATTTCTTTTACGACTCGTTCCGCCGCGCGCGCTAAGTGCTTCTAGTTAAGCTGAGATTTATAAAGCACCCCCTTACACGTATTTTGGAATTCATCGATTACTTTTATCGTCTTGGCTTTTATTTTTCATACCTACGGAGTGTAATCGACGAAGGGAGTACTCGAAAAAATATTTTTCAAACTATATAACTAATTAACGACATGACTTGACGAATATTCGTGCGCGTTGAGAGGCTGTCGTTTTACCGAACGATTCATCACTCGGGGGAGCTGCAAGCTCTAGAGCCAGTGTTGACGGCAGCGCGAACCGGAAGCCGTGATTTTTTTTCCCCTCCTTCGCGCGGCGCGTTGTGTTTTCGAATCGTTTTTTTTTTCTTGTCATGTCGTTGGTAAAATTGTTGATGTATTGGTTCTCGGAATAGGCGATGACATTAGTTTTTTTACAGCCCTTTTTGACTCCAAGCCTTTTACCCTTTGGGTGAGAACTTTTGGGTTGAAAATAATAAAAAAAAAAAAAAAACAATAACCACACGATGAAATGATTAACCAACAAGGCGCTTTTGCGAAGAATCAGCTTAAAATCATTTGGTTTTTCCTTATTTTTTCCAAGTTATTCCGAAACGAACTATGACGTATATCCTCACAATCAGTTCATATTGAATAAGCTGAAAGCCCTATAACTTTCACAAAAATACACCCATGCACCAGTTTCGCAGCCATCTCCCATCGAAGAAAGAGCTCGTTTATCACGCACTCCCCGGCCCATCTTTTTCGAAGATTACGTCAAATTAGATATTCAAGCCACCTAATTGATATTCCTGCCAGTCACTCCATACACACGGTGTATTTGTCGTTGATATAATACATAAACAACAAGCACCTATACATACCCACGCCTATGGGTACTCTTTTTCTTTTTTTTTTCTCTTCCCAAGATTTTTTTTATTCCCGCGACGTCGCTGCCACTCCCGGCGTAGATTTATCGCGAAGGAACGCCCGATGATGACGAGGAGAAGGAGGAAGCGAGGGCGAAAGAAGGGGTTACCCGAAATACATATATAAATATACATTTGACGGGACGACGCTGACGCCTGTCATACAGGCTCCCTTCAACGGAATCGACGCGTCGGCCGGGGAGTTACGCTAATTTCCCATGCACATATATACGTATGCAGACTCTGGGACGTCGGGGAGACGCGTTTCGATTTGGTTACCATAAGAAACAAAACGCGATGGCCTCTTTTTTCAAAAGACGACGACGCGTTTTATTTATACGATCCTCGTGAGTGGCGTTACCATTGAAACAACTATATCGTCCAGTAATGGTCGAGGGAGGCTCGTTAAAACGATACTTACCTCATCGAAACAAAGAACGGAAGCGCGTAGCACACCCGTACGGCCGATCACTCGCCACAGGAGGTTCCAATAAATAATTAACAAACCCGATCCACCCCTCGTTCCACGATGAAAATTAGATGCAACGCGAGACACGCGAGTTACCGGGATGATCGTATATTATCGAGAGATGGATCAAGGGTAGTTGGTTTGTACGCAAAAGGATCGGAGGAGGTTTTTGGTACGCACAACCGGACACCTTAATGACCTTTAACGACGGCGCAATTAGCCACCCATCGGTATTATCGGTTTAGCATTACAGCAGTCCTGCCGTGGCGTTGTCTCTTTTGGCCCTGTATACATATTGGCCCGAAAATAAGACGCGCGGTGTCGGTTGATCGTTAAAAAAGAGCTGACCAGCCGCTTTTGTCATACACTGCACGGTTAGGTCCAAGCTGGCCGATGATGGTCATCGCCC